ACTGACACAATACCTCTAGAAAAATAACCACTGGTTTTATATAGTTAGTGCCAACACATCAACAGTGTGATAAATATAGATAATTCCTTCATTTACCATTTGAAATAGGCTGGGTCCAGCAGTTTTGATATTTTTAACATGCATCGTGGAACACTATTGGTATCCCCTTGGCATACTGATAGCTTCTAGTATACCAAACCTCTCAAAATAGATTTAAAAAATAGCATTTTCTAAGTTCCATAAATCGTAAGTAGGCCCAAAGAGAGGCGGCATGTTCAACACTGAAGCAAAAATGAACACATCATGTAAATTTGTTCCACTGAGAAGGAACTCTAAGGGGAAAGGATTTACAGAACTGCAAAATATTCCCACCACTGAGAGTTACATTGAGCATTTACCTGCTTAAAGGTGTGCATGACCTCTTGACGCTGGCTGAAATGTTTAAAGAGAAGCTGAAGAGAGCCTGAGACAAGAGGTGGATAATCATGCATTGTCAGATGGATTAGTACCCGGAGAAACATACGTCCTCCTTCATCATCCACTTCTAACATACTGCTTGTTTTCCTGTAGCCCAAAGAGAAAAAGAAAGAAAGAAATCATAACCATGGCTTTGAACTCTCCATACTAGAGGATAAATTGCTTTAGTTATATATGGGAAAAGCAACTGACAGCAATAATGACCAGTACACTAAAACTCACCCAACCCCAAACATGGCTTCGGCCTGCTCCCCAATCCGGTCCAGATTCATTGTTGCAGCTGGAAGGGAAAAAAGTGCATAAGAAACAAGAAATGTAACAACTGGAAGGTGATGGAGGACAAAAAAGAAAAGACAATGAAATATCTGAACTAGCTCATCAGCCATTTCTCAATCACCACTATATTTAAGTGAAGAGAAAAGCAGATTTCCCCCCAGATGATTTAGCTTTAAAATTTTCTTTTATATGTGGACGCTATACAAAATAAAGCCAATGAATTTTCTCTATATAAGTGTAGTCCTTAATTGGGGGCAGCAGGAAGGGGAAGAGTACAGTATCTTACACTCAAAGTCATCTTTTGTTGAAGTGAACATGGCCATTTCTCATTCTTTGTAATAAATCACTATGATCCTAAACATTCCCATTTCCTACAGATATTCTATCATCCCACAATAGATTCAGCCTTTCATTGAGATCATACATCCATCTACCTTTAGACCATTATTGAACACTATGGCAAAATGAAGTAAAAAAAAAAAAGATTTCTGACATCAAATAAAACAGGGAGAAAGTACCAGGAGAAGCTGGGGCTTACTTGTAGAGTCAAAGGCTGGTGCTGTTCCATCTGCTGCACTGTCCTGCATGGGAAAAACTTCCACAAACTCCTTCTTGAACACCGAGAGCAAATAGGAGATCCTGTAATCTAGTCGCACATTTAGAATGAACTAGGTGTAAGAAGAGAATATGAAAAGAGGATCAGTCTAGCCCAAGATTGTCCAATCTTTGTTGGCTTATGTGGGCCACATTAAGTGAAGAGGAATTGTCTCGGGCTGCATATGCAATACATATAATATAGTTAATGTATATAAATAACATAATTCCTTTTATTATATTTTTATTATCTTGTGGGGTTGCATTGCTAGCTGTCCAGAGCCGTATGCAACCCGTGGGCCAAAGGTTGGACATGCCCAGTCTCGCCCATTTATAGACTTTTCTAGCTATTTATCATTTCTTTCCCTTCTTTTCTCTAAAGTCATTATCATAAATGGTCCCAGCAGAAGCAGCTATTGTGTCATACAGTCATGGCTCATAGTATGTGATTACCAGAACTACTGACTTGTTCTAACCTGCAATATCTCTAGAATTTTCAGTTTTGTTTCCATCACTACTATATTTTCATTTTCTATGTTTCTTCCCCTATCTGCTGGCTCAGGAACAACCACAGCATTCATGTTTGATGAACCAAAGATGGACTGCTTCCTGCTCAGCATCATAGTAGACATCATCTGGCCAACACCATGGATAGATCTTCGGACATTTTTCCCTAGGAAAGAAATCATATTCCACCAAACTTAATACTTAGTCCTACTTTCAGTCAGATCATTCTACAGCCAAATTAGGGATATGGTTAGAAGCAATTCCCACTGCAATCACATATCTGTGGTGAATTTTTTGAACTACATTTTATTTATTTATTTATTTATTTATTTAACTTATATGCCGCCCTTCTCCCCATGGGACTCAGGGCGGCTCACAGCATGTTAAAACAATATAAAACATTTCCTCTATAAAAGCCAATTAAAAACCAAATATTTATAGCTGTGTCTTATTAAAATCATAAAAATTGTCCCTATTTAAAATTCACCCTAGGTCAGTCCCGCTTGCTGAAAAAGCCATGTCTTGAGGGCGCGGCGGAAGGTTAGGAGATCCGGAATCGTCCGGATCTCGGGGGGTAGTTCGTTCCAGAGGGTGGGGGCACCCACAGAGAAGGCCCTCCCCCTGGGGGTCGCCAGCCGACATTGCTTGGCCGACGGCACCCTGAGGAGGCCCGCTCTGTGGGAGCGTACCGGTCTGTGGGAGGGAATCTGTGGCAGAAGGCGGTCTCGGAGGTATCCAGGTCCTATGCCATGGAGCGCTTTAAAGGTGGTAACTAACACCTTAAAGCGTACCCGGAAGGCCACTGGCAACCAGTGCAGCTCGCGCAGCAGCGGCGTTACATTTCTCAATCAATATTCATTTCATCATCTTCTTCCATAATTTAAGTGATTTTTAAACTTAAAAGGTATACAGTACCTAAAGCCACTCAGTGTGATCTGACCATATGTACAAAAAAAAAGATCTATCCCACTTTAAAAAAAGGTACCCACTTTTTCCTCCACACATTATTAATATAAATAAGCGCATTACACTTTATCTCAGCATCTGTTAGGGCTTGGAGGACCTACCAGCCACATCATCATTATACATGGCCTGCATCATCAACTGAGGGTTCTGGACACAATCTATGATGCCAAGAAGAGTCCGTGTCAAACGCAGCAGTTCACTGAAGCTGTAGAAGCCAAAGTAGATGAGGTTGTGGGCAAGGCTGACAACCTGGAAAGATACCAGTTCAATATAGAGGAAGAAACCGAATTAGTTGATTGAGCACTAGGTCTAGAACAACAGAAAGCAGTCACAGTGAAAAGTCATTTAAAACAAAATCCTGGATTCTTCTGAGTACATAGAAAGCCAATTTTCAAAGCAACAAATGTGATCTTTGTTCTTGCCAGAAGCTGAAATTGTGCAATTAGCCTGTCTCACATGGGAGGAAAACTCCCACAATATATCAAAGGCAAGTTTCTCACCTCAAAAGTCAGTTTATTTTTCTCCTCGTTAGCAAAGGGAACTGCTTCACTGACTACATTGTTGAGATAATCTTCCACAAACTCCATTGTGCTGGCAAACTTATTCTTCTTGTCGTCTCTTGAACTATTCACATTAGAATCATAGCTACAGAAGAAAAGGAACTTAATGAATCAAAGGGATATGGTTTCTAGTACAAACTACCTCCTGCCTTTCAATATAACATAACCTTACACATGTTTATTTAGAAGTAAGTTCTACTGCCTACAAATAGATTTCAAATTGGAACCAAAATTACATACGTCAGTGGCTGCATTTATATTCCTATTCTCAATAAGCACAAGGGGGTGAATATGAATTAGCAAGACTTTCTAAATGCTATGGCATCTCTTCATATATCTCATTCCCTTTTCCCACATAGAGATTTTTAATGGCTTACTCTTTAATAGTGATAGCTGTAGGAATCTCAGTCCACAGGCGTGCAAATTTCACAGGCATTACTTTCTCCTGTGGATCCCTGTCCACATGTACGTGCAGCATGAGATGACAGAAAGAGGCTCGGAGGTCAAAGGGCAACATTTCATCTGCCATGCAGAGAAATATTAGCTCCACACCCAATTGCTTGGAGATTTCTTTAATGGCCAAGTATTGCCGATCCATGCACATGCGGGCAAACAGCTTCAGTTGGTATCTGTGAAGACAACAGTAAAAAGAAAGAAAGTGTAATAAAGATGATAAAGCTTAATAAAGATTTGTCCAGCTTACAAAGACTATTCAATAAAAGACAAAAGCTGCTAAACTGGAAGAAACAAGTCAAGGATCAGACACAAGGAACATAACTAGGCCACAGGAACCAAAATATTACCTGTAGTAACTCAAAACATTCTCATCATGGGCATTTCCTGCTCGTGCTTCCTGGGCCAGCTGTCGGATGCTTTTCTCATGATGATCATTGTTTCTGTCAGTCCAGGTCAACCAGACTTCCTCTTCAGAAAATTCAATACTCAGGTACTCATGAGTCTGAGACATTTCCTTCACAGGCCTCAATCTGAAAAAACAAAAATGCTTCCACTCACCTTCTAAGAAAGAAATTATCTAAAGCCATTTAATTCTGAGCTGAGTCATATGTGGTGAATTATTCTCTTCCTATCTGCCAAACTATCTTTCTTTTAAGTATTTTTCCTACTACTTTTTACTGCAATATAATGGCTGCAAAATCACCCAACAGTTTAAGTTTTGGAATATATTGATTCCTTCCAAGAGAGTATAATAAAAAGTACCATATGTAATCAGCATCCAATATCTACATTTGAAGGAAAGTGATCTTTGTGAAGTTTCCCTCTAACACAGGGGTCTTCAGCCTTGGCAACGTCACGACTTGTGGACTTCAACTCCCAGAATTCCTCAGTTACTGCTCTAACAGTAAAAAAGGTTTCAAAGGTAGCCATCTCAGACTTCAACTCAGTTTCTAACAATCCACTGCCATAATTTGACCATATGAGAGCAAGCTTACATTACTGCATCTCCTCTCAAGAGCATTTTAATAAATATTTTTAATGTAAAACTATTGGCCCAGCACATCGATTTTTAAACACTCTGATATAGGCTCAAAATGACATAGTACTCTGACATCAGGATAGCAAAAAGAATAGTAGCGGAAGAGGACAGTAATACTATTGTTCAAAGGAAAAAGGGCACACTGGATACTCACTCAGTTTGGATCAAGATATCAGTGTTCTTGTGGTCCAAGACACACTTGCAGATCAGCTCCTGAGTTACAGGAATGGCTACATGATTTGACACACACAAGTCTGATAGATAGTCTAAAAACCTGGAACAGAAGTGAAGGGTTCAAATTATCCTTCAAGCAATTTTTTTTCACCATTGGAAAATTCAGTCTTTATTGTTTCCAGTCCTGATCTGGAATGTCAACTGCCCAGTCTAAAGAAAACACTGCTACTGTACTTTTGCACCAGAAGGCAGAAAGATAGTAAAAAAAAAAACAACAGGTTGCATGAAGAAGCATCTTGGAAAGAACAATCTACCCAAGGAGAAATTTATTCCTGTATACCCCAACTTCAATAATCAGAGATGATCAGTGCCAATTGAAAATTGGAGTTTCCAGCACTAGACCTAAAGCAACCAGAAGCTGGAACAATTTCCATCCAATGCTATAATGCACTGATGTATGGCAACTGGGACTGGCAACTCTGTTCTTAAGTAATACAATATAAAGCACATCATGTGACTGCACCAACTTACAATGGTAGTTGTGGAAATCCTGGTTTCCATTAGATGAATTTCATGTAGTCGCAGCATCCCACGGACATGTGATTGCCATTTGTGACATTCTGCCAGCTTCCCTATTGACTCTGCTTGTTGGAAGCCCACAGTGAAGATTGCAAATGGCAACCATGGGACCATGGAATACTGCAACATCACAAAGGCCAAGCTCCCCACATCACAAACACATGACCATTGGGATGCTGCTATAGCTACATCAACAAGGAAGACTTGTAAATGGAATGGAATGTATGAATGACCTTGGGGAAAGAGGGGAAGAGATACTGCCTAGGAATCAGACAAGAGAGACAGGAGCCCACAATCACTTAATGGTCAGAGAAAGAAACTTAGAAAGGACCTGCTGTCATGGATCAATCAGTTACAAGTGGAGGTGGGAAATTTCTGTCTTTAGACTTGCAGGATTCTGTGAATGTAGTCTTACAATAAAGTAGAATTAGCTCATTTAATCATGTTTCCTGTCTCGTTACCTGGGCGGGCTGACTTAAGTCCCCCTTGTTCAGCATCATCGTAATTTTGAACAGCTGCTGAACAAGTAGATATTCAACAAGGACTACTTGTATTTACTTTCTTGGAAACTGATCCTTTACTTGGACCTGACAATTATTTCTGTTCTGGCCATTGAACCTCAGCTACCATTAAGGAACTTTACTCATCTCAGACTTCGGATTGGATTGGGACTAGTATTTTATCTATCAAATCCACTGTAAATGCCACTACTGATGTTGACCCTGGGATGTTAATAACTTTATTAAAGCCTTTATGCCAGTTCACTTTCCTTACAACTAATTACCTGAAGACTATTTTGGACTGCCAATTATCCAACATAGCTAACAAATCAACAATCAGCCAAACATTTTTTAAAATAATCTTAATATAATTAAAATCTGCAGCTAATGTCTTTTGACATAAAGATGCATGCAAGATGCCTGTTAACTACTGCAGAAGAAAGATCTAGTTTAAAGATATGCAACCCAAGTTGCCCCATTGTCTTTAAGTGATACCCACCTGGGTTCTCGATTTTTTCGCACCAGACTCACAAAGGTTTCCACTTCAGTTTTGGTTATATGCTTTTCAAGAAGTTTACGGTTGTTATGCAAGAGGGCAGTGATGGTGTCCTCAGCCAAAATGTCATAGCCAATTTGTGACTGCATCATTCCAAACTGCTTAGCAATATGTTCCTGGGAAAAAAAGAAATCATATCTGAGTGGAGTAATTCCGTGTTAAAATTGTGAGCTAATTTAGCAACTACTGAATAGCCAAAAATGTGAAGATTTTTCCAAACGATAATGCTGTATGTATAAAAATTTTCTTACATATCATTAAGGAAAAGCAAACCCATAAAACAAATGAATCTTAATTGATTTGCTTCTATATGGATCATTTATTCTTATTAAGATTAAATAGTCCAGAAAAATATATATTGGACTAATCATGGACTAATCCTCTACACCAGGGGTGTCAAGCTGCCGGCCCGCATGCCGGATGTATCATAGCAAAACTGCGCCTACCCCATTGCCAGCAATGGCAAAAAAAAGTCGTGATACGTCACGACACGTCACGTGACATTGCGAGTTTGACACCCCTGCTCTACACCAACCCTAAACCAGCAATATCTGTATCTTTATTGGTAAATGTTTACCTGGTTCTTGCGGTAATCCTCCTGGGAATGCCTCAGTACCCTATAGCAGAGTCGGAACATGTATTGGTATGGAGCATTCTTCTGGTCAGATAGCTCTTCCAGGCGTACAAGTGGACCTTCCTCACCCTTTTCTTTAAATGGAGCCTTCAGAATTCCAAAGATCTATTTAGCACAGAAGGGATGTTATCAGTCCAACTGGAAAGTGTATTTTGCTTGGGGGAGTGAGGGGGAATTCCAAACTATTAGGTCTTGATTCTGGAATATTTCATATCTTTTTCCCTATTTATGAACAAATTTACTTGGGATTTGTTTACTGTTAAATCATTAAGTTCCTTCATCTCATCTGGATGAAGCAAAAAACCAAGAGGCCAGATCAACATGTTTAAAAAAAAAAGCTATCATAGGTAACAATGAAGTACAACAGGTTTATTCCCAATTCCAAAACAGAACTAGATAGAAAATATTTTAAAATGTTCTTGTAAAAAAAAAAAAGAGGATACAATTTTGAGGCAAGATACTTTTTCCTACAACTGTCCTTCCAAGTATTTATGAATGTGTCCCCAACAGGAGATTTACTTCTATGTCATCCTACCCAAGATATCAGTTAATTTTAGGGTCTTTGTTCCATCTGCATCTTGAGAGATGGAGATCAGCCATTCATGAATAATATAAAGATATGCACAATTCTGAATTTCAGCTCTCCATCTAGTTCTTCTGTGGGAATCACAGAAACCTGCTCAGGATGGCTTTTATTGTGTTCTCTGTGGACTTGAAAACACTCCTCTTCAAAGGAATGCTTCTCTGCTATCCAGGTTGTTTCTTTTTAATTTTAGTTTTGAAAATTACCCGTCCTCCTAAAATACAGTAAGGATGAACAATCTGGTTCCTTCCAGGTATGTTGGACTTGAAGTTCCAACAATCTCAGCCACCATGACCAATGGCAAGAGATTATGGCTCAGTTTCAAATGAAGATCTCACTCGGAAGAATTCAAAATTGCACACTGTCTTCCCACTATGTCTATTCAAACTGAGATCAGCTAGGAGAAAAAGTCTTCATATATTGATTTTAAAAGTTGAACAAATTTGAAAAGACAGCCCTTCACAAGCCCTGTCATTTTAGAGTAGGTGGGTCAAAAAGTTGTAGAGTAGCTATTTCTTCAACTGATACCTATTCGAAGCTAATTTGCATATATCTTGCATATAAATCAGGGGAATTGTCTGCAGTCTTAGAAAAGAACGTTTCATTGTAGAAATATTCTGGAATACTGAAAACTCTTCATTTAATAATCTTCATTTAATACTGCAAAGAACAGTAGTTGTTCTGGATAATAAATCACCTGCTTCAGTATGTTCTGTTCCCTCATAAGTTTTTGCCTTTCTCGGTTGGCCTTGGTAATAACAATATCCAAAACATTTTGACCGTTGTTGGGTACATCGCTGACAAAAAAAACCAAGTCCTCCAACAGTTGGATGACGAATCTGTCAGAGAAATCATAATTAATTTCAGCAGTGAAACACATCCCATAAATCAAGATCATGCAACAGTTTATTTTGGACAATAAATAGTTATTTCATAGGAAACAAAAACAACATAAATATTAGTCATGCTTTTTAAATATTTTGCCTAGGTCTTTAAAATTCAAAGTAATTTACAATTTAAGCTTAACTTTTCAGAATCTACAGCATAAAATTTCATTGCCCAAGTCAAAACAATATTTAGGCTACATCACAGATGTGAATAATATCTTCTTGCAGGAAGAAAATTGGATTCTTGCAAAAGGGATTCATGTATTAGTCCTTCAGGCTAATTGACTTAATCCCACACAAAGTGATTATATCTGTCTCTTAATGTCCAGTGATACAAAATACTTGCTCTTTTTACCTCCGGTCATTCTGACTAAGGAATCCTTCATTCATTTTCTCTACCACATTAGCTAGCATGTAGCTGGCATCATTGGCAAAATCCAGATCTCGGATTTCTGACACTGGAACAGAAACGATGGCAAAAGCTTCTTTGTCTTCTTTGGTTGGGCAGGTACCAAGCTGAAAAGCAGAATTATATAATCCAGTTCCGTGGATTGCTCAAATGTCTATATTTGCAAATTATATTCTCTAACATCATATCCAGATAATACTAAATGCTAAAAATTAATATTAAATGCTCACTTATCATGAGCCACTTTAAATACCATTTTTTAGGCAGAAAAGAATGAGGACAGACAGACAGATATAAAATATATCCAAGAGACAATTGTGGTTCTAATGACAAAATGGCCAAGAGAATATGAAAATTGACCTATTCCAAAGAATGAGCTGTCCTGATGAGGGTGGCAAAGAGCAATGGGAAGTTTTAGGCAGCCTGCAAGGCAAGAAAGAAGCAGGAAGAGGACAATGAATATGCATATGTTTCAGATGGTGTGTATTTGAGAGCTACAGGAGAAGAAGAAAATGAAAGTATTTTGGAATGAGCTTAAAAAGAAGGGTTGTGAATTGTGGGGTTGAAAGCTGAGCATTCCAACTTCTTAGAAATTAAAGAAAGCAACATAATCACAAAGTTAGCCATTTCTGAATATGTAACCTCTTGTAAAGGTACCTCTGAAAGTTGCTTAAAATTCTACCTCTAAAATTCTGACTAGATCAAAAGGAGCAGAAACCCCCAATCGGCATTAGCT